ACCCTGGGGTGATTAGCAGTGAGACTGAAAACCAGCACTGCTGGGCACTCCTGCAGCTCAAACCCCAATCCATACCAAATGACCCCGGATATCTGCTCTCCAGGAGTCCTCAGCCACATTCACGTTCCAAGGATTCCTGGTTTTCCACTGCCAGCGTGGATGGAGACTCATCCATGACCTCAGCTGAAGCTCTTTGTGCTCCTACAGACGTGTAAGGCCCTAAAATTTCAGACCTCATCAGATCTCAACTACGTGGCTCCAGAAAGTCCAGCCATGTAAGTGCTTTCCTACTGCCTCTCACCTCCAGAATGAATGGACTACTCATCTAACAGGGTGACTCATCCGTCACCCTGAAAATGCAGCTCCAGAATGAATGGAGTCACCCTGAAAACGCAGCTTTTTTGAGCTTGTTGACATAGTTTCTAAAGATTTTCCCAGGACAGTAACTGTAAACATAGATATGTGTACATTCATTCTGTTAGACATCTTTTGATGGGCATCTCTCATGGCCAGTGTGGTTGGGAAAGCATTATCCTGACTATCCAATCCCTGGCTGTGGTCAGAAATCTATAAACTGTGAGAGAAGAAATAAAGTCTCTCTTTCCTTCATCATACCTTGAGCTGTGTCTGTGTGACTTATTTCGTGTCCAACAGCAATACTCATCTGCCTTAGGAAGCCGGAAAGAAACTGTTGAACTGTTCGATAAAAGTCCAGTCTTAGTAAGTGTTTTGGACATCCATTAGTGACAATCCTGTCATACACTGGATTGGCTCTAAACTGTGAAGAGGACCCAAGAGCCACTCTGATTCTCAGAACACACCAGTCCTTTTGCTGTGAACAGATACTCAGTGACACAGAGCTATTTCAAATAACAATTCCCTCTACCTGATTTTGAAGAAGGAAACATCTTACACTGATGATTATCCAAGCCTAGATGCCCCAGGGCTCTGCGAGAGGAAGCTGCAATGGATGGATACGGGGCCCACACATCAGATCTCAAGTGTGGAATTACAGCCTGAAGCACAGACATCTCAGAAGCACTCTGGGTGATAGCTCTCCTTGCTCTGTTTCTGAGAACCATAAACGCTCATGCAGTCCTGATGTACACAGACACTGCAGAAGCTTGAGAGCAGAAGCACCATGGTAAGACACAAATGCCAGCTCAGGAGTGCTTCACCAAAGCAGCCATGGAGTCATGCTCTGAGCTGGCACAGCCTGGCACAAGTCAGGACTGTATCTGAGCCTTTCTTATCAGAGGAAATGCAGGGAAGCTGAAAGAGCTGCTGTACAACTTACAGGAGCACACAAGAGAAACTGTACCGAGAAGAAGTAGTACAATAACTCCCCTAGCACCTGGCACATTGTGCTTCTAGACCTGGAAGTCACCCACACAGAAGGATGGACCCTGCAGAGCCGGCCAAGGGTGCTCACGGCACTGCATGGCTGCTGCATGGATCTGTTTGTGCATGGACCTCCCCAAGCACCCTGTCTAGAACCACCAAAGGGTTTACAGGCTGCTCAGCTTTCAGAGAAGGCCAGACTGGCAGCAGGGCAAGCCAGCACTTGGCTGTGCTCAGGCAAGTGTCCCCTCTCTCTGGGTCAGAAGATGTCCACCTCAGGCCACCTCTCTGATGTATTATTCACACAGAGACAGCACCAAGGACTGCTTACTAATGGGAATTCATTACCTTTCAAGCTCTCCTAGGCAGGCACCACATCCTTCTTTTGTTTGAAGGGCTGCACACATGACTAAACGCAGTCACAGATCCCATACAAACACCTTCAGTTAATATCCAGATCCGGCTCTGCAGGCAAACCCTTTCCCAGAGCATGACTGGACAGATCATGACATAGTTTTGTTTAGCTTTTTTTAAGATCTGCATTATTTAAACACAGCATCGCTCAGAAAAAAAAACAGTAATTTTCATCAGTTAATAAAAAAAGCAATATGCATAATAGGGATGGAAAAAGAAGCAGTTGAGGTTAATGCAGCTAAATCAACGGAACAGCTCGTCCCCTAGGGCTGAGCCAGCCAAGCTTCCTCCGCTCCTCTAGGAGAGGCTCTCTGCTCCTCTTCTCTGCACCTGGAATTGCAGGGTCTGCAGCAAAGATCCTCAACAAATCTGTCAGGATAGAGCAGTAATGTAATACCCAGAAACAGCAAATTTTCTTCTTGGGTTCAAAAGCGGTGAAGCATTTCTCTTCTGTAAGTCTGGTCTAGACACAGTTTTAGAACAGATTTGGAAGCCAAAGATTATTCAATAACACTGAAGAAAAGAAAAACCACTTATTTCCCTCTGAAGTGAAGGACTGCAACCAACACTGGTGGTAAATTAAATATCAGTAACTGAAGATGGGAAGAAAGAGCATATGTCAGGTATCCAAAGTATACCAAAAAAGCTACAAAGCATCAAGAAAACAAAAAGAAGATGGGAATTCTCTTGTTTTCTTTGATAGAAGAGCCTCAATGTCTTACAGGATTTGAGTTCAGATTCAGGAACAGGAAAGCACCTGGTGATGCCCCTGCCATAAAGCCACCCAGGGCTACACATCTCTGGTGCATCCCCCAGGAACAGCAGTGCAATCCCTCAGCTCCCTCCTCTCCTCACACCCAAGGGACACGTGCACTGCCATCCTCAAGCACAGCTTACAAGAAGCCGCAAGCACAACATTAAATACCATTCTGGATCTCAAATCAGAACTGGCCTTTTCAGTTCAGCCACAAAGGGATTCTGCACATTTTAATTAACAGGTTTAATTACTGGTCGCAGGTCTACTCTTCAGGCCAAAAAAAGCTTTTTGTGCAGTTCATTCCTTCCTTAATTTTAACTGAAATCTCATTGAAAAGCCAAATTCTGTATGTTTAACAGTGCCCAAGTTACCATTTTTACTGTTTTCAGGGAGACAACATTTACTTCTAACCTTTCCCCAAAACACAGTAAATATATTCCCTCTGCCAAGCTGGCATTGATGGATTTACACCTAAACAACATATATTTTGATTGTGACACACACCAACTCTCCATAAGCCACCTGAATTCTATGACAATTATTTTATAGCATGGAGAATTCAGGATTACTTCATTTAATATGTTCAAAATATTATTCAAAGAGAACAAACTATTGAGACTTGTTTCAAAATAAATACTGAAAATGTAGAGACCATGTCAGTAACCGTGTCTGAGGCATTTAGGAATAAACCCTGTTTGCAGTATTAAGCTCACTTAAGTTTTTTAATTGCTTCAAGCAGCATGTTACTGTGAGACTAAAGATGGGCAGCCACACAGAAAAGGCTTAGCAAACTGCAGGCAGGTCTTGGACAAACACTGTAGGTGTGATGCACTGAACTGGAAACCCTGTAAATACACTTCAGGTAACTGCAGCAGCAGAGATATGCCTCCTCTGCCTTCCCCTTTTCCCTCAGCTGTGGAAGCAGGCAGGCCGGTGCTCCTGGCAGAGGGCAGGCTGGGCAGGAGGCAGAAGCTCGCCAGCCCCACGTCATGGAGCAGCTCCGTTCCCAAGGAAACCTGTCCCAGAAGCCAGGCTGCAAACAGCCACAGCCAGCTTCCAGCTGACTGCCAGCCACTGGAGGTGCTCCGAGACACCTGCAGCACTGCACTGACCCCTGACTGGCCCCACAGAGCAGTGCAACTCGCCCCACAGCAACCACAGCCCAAAGGAATTCAGAATCTTGTCCCACAATGGCACACATCAGCCACAGGCCAAAAGGAGCTGCTGTGACTCTGAACCACAGAGCCAGACTTCCTAGAAATCAGATGGGATGACAGAGCCCCTGGGATCTAACTTAGGTTGGTTTTACACTGGGTCGGGAACAAATACAGAATCTCCTTCACTCACTGCTTCTCCACAAGGATGAAAACATCAGCACTGCTTTCCTCTCCCAGAGCACCCAGGCAGAGACCACAGAGCAGAGTCCTTATGGTTACAAATCCCTCTTTCTGGATTAGCACAGCTGACCTGCACAGAGGCACCAGGCCAGCAAGGGTAGCACAGGATGGAGCAGTTCCTCCAGGACAAGGGGCACATGCTATTTAATTCAGCCCTCTAGACCTAGGGCAGCTAAGAACTGTTCAGCTACTGATGCAGAGAGACCCTGAAATCAGATATCATGTATTTTAGAGACTCTTGCTAAACTCAGCCTAGCAGGAGAGTAAAATGATTCACAAGAATTCTATATTTATAATGAAGATTCACCAAAAATGACTCATGTACTGAACCAATCTAATTTTAAATAGAAGGGAAAAACCTCTTGAAGAGTCACATGAAACTGGAGTGGGGGAGGGAAGAGAACTGCACACCCAAGAGAGCATCAGCCAGGAGCTGTTAGCCAAATCTGCTGGAAGGGTTTCTCCATTCAATCAGCCAAAGTGAAAACAGAACATGCAGCTTCACCTTCTTCTGGTTTGGAGTTAATCGAGGCCTCTGTTCAAAGCAGCAGCGGGCTGGAGTCCTGCCTTAGGACAGGTAGGATTGCTGGGCAGTAATGAGGCAGCTCAGCACAGACTTACTAGTTCTTCAGACCATGAATAATTCAGAACACAAAACCAACTGGAATCACAGTAGGAGGACAAGAGAAGTATGAAGACTTTAAAGTATTCCTAATTTTGGCCAAGCAGAGTCTAACAGAAATAGCTGCCACCCCACCGCCCATTACACCAACAATGCAGCACAGCTTCCAGGCCAGGATTCCAGGAACAGAGACCAGGCAGACCACACTGGGAGCTCCCTGGAACACAGAGCCAGCCTGCAGCAAGGCCACCTGTCATCTTGGCTGGGTACTTGGATAAGGACAGTTTACTAAGAGTTACTTTACAATTTATAATGTAAACACACATGTAGCAAATATAGAGGTGAAATGGGCCTGAACACCATGATTTCTAATAGCTAAATCCCTGCATTTACCTCTGACAGCGGAGAAAATAAATATCTAGAGGAAAAGTAAGGTTAGGGAGTGTTAGCTACTCCATGTGACATTTACCACATAAGGCGATGATGTGACTGCTGTCTTCATGTACAAATTTCCGGGTCACAGCTTCTTCCATGATCTGCTTTACCTAAAATGAATAGAGAGAAATGATTGTATGATCCCAATAAAATCAGCACAGCACTTGGGAGTTTCAGTTTCAATCACTGCTTGCCCCTTTCCCTTCATCAACAGACTAACAACTCCCTCACATCACATTTTGCAGGGAAGAATGGATTTAAGGAGGGAAAGCACAAATAAACCTGAGGGGTTTATCATGGCGTGAGGAAACCTCTGGCAGAACAAGGACAGGTCTATGTGGGGTGTGCCTCATAAAAGGCAGATTTCAGCATGCCCACAGTACCCTCCAAAGAACTTCTCCAGTGTAAGTTCCAAACAGCTGTGAAAGACTTTTTATATGATTCGTCCTCGGCCTTCACACAGTCTCTTCTGCTCAGATTGCATTGCTACGTCCCATTTCCACTTGTGCCATTCTGCTCTTTTTCAAGCACAGTGCATCCCTGAACGACACAAACACACATTCCCAGAGAGGTTCAGGGCCACCTTTCCCCTGCCTGGGAAGCATGGAACATGCCACAGCTATTACAAATTATGCCTTCGATGCTCCATTGCACCAGACAATATACAAAATTATTACAGCATCTACAGAGAAGGCAGTGGCTTCAGTTTTTACTTCAAGACATGATTTAACAATTGTAGCAAATAAAATTACACTTATCACACTTTTTAATGGTTTAAAACAAAGTTCTTTTCCAGTTTCAGGGCTCAAGATGTGTCAACCTCCAGAGGGAAATCACTGCAAATTACTGACTTTCAAAAATTAAAAAAGAAACAGATAATTCTTCCAATGAGGCTCTTGGCATGAGGCTGTAGTCACCCTCCATTCATCTGCCAGTGATTCCTCCCCAATGGCTTCCTCAGCCTGACACCACATGAAACCTCTTTGGTTTCCAGCTCATCACCAACTCATTTATCAGACACTCATTTCCTCCTGGCCATGGAGAGCTTGCTCTCTTACATATACAAATCAACCATCATCTTTGACTTCTCTCATCTGAGAGCTACAATTACTGGGTTATGACACTCTGACTAAACATATACCAATTCACTTTCAATATACGAGAGTAAGTGCTAACATGGCAGAAGACTTAACCATGTCAAGAAGAAGACGCTCTTCTTCAAACATTTAGAGCTGACTGGGTACCACTTCATGGCACTGATAGGTCCCAAGGTTTTGAGCTTTTCCACTCAGAACTGGATCAGGAGAAGCCACAAGTGCAGTGTTCCATCGCCAGCTGGACCCTGCAGCTGCCTGTGGAGGTGTCTTCTCTGATTTGGAGGGCTTCCTCCTCCAGCAAGACAATCTGCGAGACCAATTCTGGGTGCTGTAATTAAACATCCTCCCTCCAGTAATCATCTTGGGGCCTCTATGCCCACTCCTACACCCCCAGCCCGGCTGGCAGGAGGCTGCAGCTCTGGCACTTGCTGCACGAGCCTTTCAACACATGGCATTTGCCTCGCTTCAAATTCTGCATCAAGTTGCTCCTCCAGAATTTGTGCTTCTTATCAAACAGGAACCCTCTGAGTTGCAAAGAAAACATCGGAGGGGAAAAAGCAAACATGTAAGAGGCTTTGGAAGTAGAACATGTTTTATAGCTGAGGACTTTGAAACAAGCCTCTTCCACTTTAAAAAACCTGGCTCACTGCTCACACCTAAGGCTTGACAACATAAACTTTGAGCCAGACAATTTGTTTCTTTCCTGTGGTGTTTCTAACATGGCTGTTAGAACTTAGGACCTCAGCTGGAGATGGAGGGTATCAGGAAAGAAGCAGAGGTGTGAGGAGGTCTCATGAATGTGCTCTCACATCTGGATTATCCCATGTACTCAGCAATCCTTTTGGCACAGTTTTATTGATCCAAGAAAGGGCTGATGTACTACTGACAAAAAGCAACTCTGAGTGCCTTCAGGACCATGAAATCAGTCTCAGCATCCCAGACAACAGTAACTGGAATTCAAATCCTAACAGGGAGGAAGAAGAGTTGTTTAGAGAAGCAAAAGCTCAAGTGCTCAGCAGCCAATTCATTGCTACCACACATCTTGCAGGCACACCCCAATCAGCTCATGATTTTATGTACATCCCAGTCAACAAAAATTTTAAGTGTATAAAAGCTGAGAAAGAAAAGAGTTTCAGATTCAATAATCGACCTACTTTTCTAGAGCAGCACCATCCAGTGTCTCTCAGGAGACTTCAAACCCTGGACTCCAGAGCTAAGGACTCTTTCAGGACTCTCAGACCAGGCACTCTGTGTGTTCCCCACTGCCACCAGATGCCAAGCAAGCTCTGTGCATTTTCTGGAGAGTGACTGAATGTTATTAGAAAACATTTTTAAGGCATAGACAGGATATGAGAAGATTCAAAAGCTGGAATGCAGTGTTCTTCAATCCCACGTCATCCCTCACCGCCACGTAATTCACGGATGCTTCAGGCAACAAGCTAAAGCAAGTGCTTCTGATGAGATAGAACACTTTTTTTGCTTATTTCCTTTAGTCCCTTGCAATATTGCACAGCTCTTCATAGGGAATTCTGCTGCTTTGTCTCTGTTCTTGGGAGGCACTTGACAATGGAGCTTTTTGAGCACAAGCCTCCACACACACCCACTGGCAGCTACCAGCAGACCTGACCAAACTGCAAATTAATCTCATTAACAGAAGCATCACCAGCTGCCCCCACAGCCACCCATCTACCCCCACAGGGAAGGAATCAGCCGGCCTACACCTGTGTTTGTGCAAGGGATGGAGGGCTGCAGCCTTCAGCCGGGCCAGGGCTGCTCCCAGAGCCTGGAGAGGAGCCTGTGCAGGTGGGAGGGAGCGCTGGGGCCAGCAGTGATAGTGGCTCCTGCTCCAGCCCTGGAAATGTCCTGCTGCTCTCTGTGCCTCCCCTGCAGAACACAGGAGCCTCACATCTGAAGCAGGCTGCATGCGTGTCCCTGGAGCAGCTGCAGCAGGAACAGCATCAGCTCGGGCCAGGGACACCTGCTCACCCTGGAACAGTGCCAGGCTCCGGGGGCACACGTCTGCCAACCACCACAGAGCTGGCACAGGAAAGCTCTGCCCACCCAAGCAAAGAGCTCAGCACTTGAGGAGCACAGAAGATCTATACATTATACAGATCTAAAGCAAAGCAAACTCCTCAAAGAGAAGCTGCTCAGCATTTGCAGTGTGTTCTAATGGATCACTGCTCTGACCTTCTCCCACATCCTACAAGGGCCAAAACTTTCAGAAGCAGTCAAACACCAAACATACATCAAAATATATGGATTGTTTATTAAGTTTCACTCAGGAAATGCACAAGAGAAATGCCTTTATGTTTATTTTTTTTTAAGTTTTGTCATAAGGAAACTTTAAAAATGGTAAAGAAGAATGTCCATAACACACCACAATAACCAGAAATACAGTTAAAGCCTACAGCATTTTTTCCTCAAAGGAGAAAACCTAATGTCCAGCATCCATGCTTTCTTCAGCTTGTGCAGCTACTGCTCATCTCCTTTATTGACAGCTCCTGCTGCACTGACTTACTCCTGATGAAAGCCTGGTAGTGTAATAAAAGCCGTTCGATAACTATTGCACTTCTGCTCAGAAGTCCTTACATTTCAGCTGCAAGTTGAACAATCGAGTTTCTGAAGTGCTCTGAAATCGTTCAGGGTAGAACTGCTAAGGTTATTGTCATCCTGTTTGTTTCACAGCTAGAAAGCACTGTTTAAATCCAGAAATGGCAAAACCCTCCATTTCAGGAGGCAAAAGGAAATGGCCAGAGAAAAAAGCCTGTTTTATGAGTCTGCTTGTCACAACAGATTTTCCTGCAGAGAGAGATAAATGCTTGAAACGTGAACTTCCAAGCGGCCTCAGCATGAATCCCAGCAGTTACATTTTCTAAACAGATTACACGTCTTCCTTCTGTGACAGCCAACAAAATACATTCCCTACCAATGGGAACTGAAAGTCCATCTGAGGAAAAGCAAACAGTATTCAATTTCCCAAAGGAAAAATGCAGAAGTTTTAGCTGAGAGACTGAGGCAAAATAAACTAAACACTTTGCACCAAGTGACTTTGGAGATGAGTGTTCTATACTTTGCAAAGAAAACTGAATTTTAACAGGCTTGGTGGAACAGCCCACAGAAAGAATCTGCTGCCTATGAACTCCTTTGGCTATTGAGCTTATGGGAAAATCATTCAACAGGAAATAGTCTGGGTTTAAAGGACAAGGGAGGGGGACCAGGGCTGTGAGAACAGACATGGACGTGGAGTGAGGTTTTCCCAGCAAGCCCCCACCACACAGCAAGCAGGCAGAAGCGGCTGTGTGAAGTCACACATGATAAAAAATGAGGTTGAAAATTCTATTGGAAAAAGTTAATTACAGTCATTAAGGGCAGCATCATCTGGTGGGTGGTTACTAGTGGCTTGTGTTCAGTTCCTGCCTCTGTCAATTGATTATTGAAGACAAAATCTCCATCTCAGTGTCTCCAACTTCCTTCTGAGCCATTTTCTTACTGTGAGCACAAACAGGGGCCCTTCCACAAGTCTGTGAGGACACAGGTGAGGGTGTTAACTCAACTTGCTTATAATCAACAAAGGCTCTCATGGCTATTTCAGGCTGGAAAGCTCTGGCCAACCCCTAAAAAGCCAAGCCACTATAAGTGCTCTAAAAGAGCATTGGTGAGGATTTGGAGAAGGAAAAACAAATCAGAGACAAATCAAAAATGCAGATGACACAGAAGGTACAAATAACACTTTCAAACATTATTCAAGTCATTTAAAAACCAGAGTCCAATTAAAAACATTTTAGAGACTTTAAAAACAAATTAGCCTCAGATTTTTTAATTACACACCACTACTTCTCCTCAGCTTGAGCCAGCTTGGATCATAAAAATCCATTTCACTTTTCATCTCATGCATTAGCACAAGATTGCAATGTTCACACTTGGAAAACATTTATCAGATTTATTTATATATTTAAGCATTACTCAGGAGAGCAAATGCACCCAGTTCTAAATAAAACCTTACACTGCCTCAGCTCAAAGGTTCTAGCTCAAGCAGAAGTTTCTAATCGAAGTGGCAGGTTCCTGGCAGCATTCAGCAGCTATCACCTGCCCAGAGCCAGCTGCTGGCTGGGTCATCCTGGGACACAGTCCCGCTGCTGCACATACAGACTGTCCTTGGCATGTCTGTCTGTGCTGTGCCCCTTGCACGCATCCCACGCTGACTGCAACACCTGATGTGTTCTGATTCCAGCATTAATGAGTACCAGACAGGGAGTCAGGTTCAGGATCCTTGGCCACAGCAACAACTTTTCATCTGAACCTTGAGGGCTCCTGGACTTCCCCAGCAGTTAACTGGGGAGGGGAAGGAACAGGAGGACAGGTACCTGTTTAAAATACTTGCTACAGCTATCATGGATAAAACATCTTCACTGCTGTGTAACACCGGCAGCTACACCACAGCCAGTGCCACAAAAACACAAAATACGATATTTGTGTGCATGGGGAGAGGTGGCCGCAGGGAGCCCCCACCTGGAGTGCGCGGCAGAGGTGGCCATGGTCCAGCGCTTGTGCACACCACGGGCACCTCCTCCGAGCCGGGCAAGAGCCTTGATCTGCGGCAGGAGCTGCTCCATCGCAGCGAACACTCCCCGTCCGTCCTGCCGAGCACCTCCGGCCCGGCAAGGAGCGCCTGCCGACCAAGGAGCACCTCCGGCCGGACAAGGAGGGAGCACCTCCGGCCGGACAAGGAGCTCCGTGCGAGGACCGGGTGCCACCAGCCCAAACGCGAGTGTGAGCGAACGGCACCGCTCAGGTGCGGGGGGTGGGTGGGCTGTTTATGCACACACAGCTCCGACTGCCCCAGCCCGGGAATGTCACACAGGTGTGTGCAGGAACAACCACCCAAATTAACCCTTCCTAGCCTTCCAGGGCTCTGGCACCTGGGAGCCAGCTCGGCTCATCCACGGACACCTCAGGAATACATTTTTTATCCGCGATTTCCCCCCGCTTCTCCTCTAAAGCTCACAGTTAAGGAAAAAGTCATTAAAAACGAGTACTACGGGAAACACAAACCCCGGGAAAAAGAGCGGGAGCCGATGTCAGCCTCCTGCCGCAGCGGCAGCCCCGCCGGCGGCATCCCTGGCCCAGGTGCGCCCGGGGGAAAAAGAGCACCGAGCTTCTCCCGGAGCAGCATCG